GAAGTTGCCTACTTCTAAGATTAAGGAAATCTGTGCAATGTGGCTTAAAGTGCAAAGCTTTATGGATGATAATCACGCTGACACAGCTACTGCAAGCCGTGTTGGCAACCTGTACACTGACAATGTTGTGAACCACTTTAGGAAAGTCATAAAGGAACGAGAGGTACTGGCCTCTATGGACAGATATGTTGTGCGACAGAAGTCCAGTTACTCTCAAGCTGGTCCTAGTGGCATTAAAAGAACAAGGGAAGTAACCCCAGAAAAAGACTTGCTGCCTCAAGCGCTAATGGAAGGGGATTCCCCTTCTAAACACTAACACCTCTCCCCTCCTCCCATCCCATCAATCATCACCAGATCTTCAATAAAGGTAAGTGTCATGTAACTGTGCATGTAATCTTCAGTTTGTGTGTATTAAAATTAATATTTCATGTGGTAAAAAATTTTTTTTTTCAATACTTTTGGGTGTCTTGCACGGATTAATTTGATTTCCATTATTTCTTATGGGGAAAATTAACTTGACTAACGATAATTCTGACTAACGATGAGCTCTCAGGAACGGATTGATATCGCTGGTTGAGGGTCCACTGTGTATGTATGTGTGTATATATATATATAGATATATATATATATATATATATATATATATTTAGAGAGAATGGATCACAGTAGAATGACATGGAAAGCATATAAATCTATAGGGGAAGGAAGGCGGGGTAGGGGTCGTCCTCGAAAGGGTTGGAGAGAGGGGGTAAAGGAGGTTTTGTGGGTAAGGGGCTTGGATTTCCAGCAAGCGTGCGTGAGCGTGTTAGATAGGAGTGAATGGAGACGAATGGTACTTGGGACCTGACGATCTGTTGGAGTGTGAGCAGGGTAATATTTAGTGAAGGGATTCAGGGAAACCGGTTATTTTCATATAGTCGGACTTGAGTCCTGGAAATGGGAAGTACAATGCCTGCACTTTAAAGGAGGGGTTTGGGATATTGGCAGTTTGGAGGGATATGTTGTGTATCTTTATATGTGTATGCTTCTAGACTGTTGTATTCTGAGCACCTCTGCAAAAACAGTGATAATGTGCGAGTGTGGTGAAAGTGTTGAATGATGATGAAAGTATTTTCTTTTTGGGGATTTTCTTTCTTTTTTGGGTCACCCTGCCTCGGTGGGAGACGGCCGACTTGTTGAAAAAAAAAAAAAAAAAAAAAAAAATATATATATATATATATATATATATATATATATATATATATATATATATATATATATATATATATATATATATATATATATATATATATATATATATATATAAATCAATTATCCTTGAATTACAGTGTTTAACAATAATTTACATTTTTTTTCTTTTTTTTTTAGAGAAATTCAGATTAATATTTTGTGGCTTGGTTTACCTACATGTTATCTACTGCTCAAATAATAGTCAAGTAAATGTTAAATAATAATGGTAATTTATATTTTAATTTGGAAAACTTTCTCTTTGTAGTAAACGGCGAAAGAGCGAAAAGGGTGGCAAGGGTCTACGCCACTTTTCCATGAAGGTATGCGAAAAAGTTAAAGCTAAAGGTACAACGTCATACAATGAAGTGGCGGATGAATTAGTATCTGAATTTACAGACCCAACTCGGTGTGCATCACCCTCTGATGGTGCCAATGTGAGTTATTATTTGTATTGATAAATCTGAAAGTGAAATCTTTTTACAGTACACGGTTTTTCATTCTTGTGTAATGAAACTGTATCCCAAGGACTACTGCAAGACCAGTTTATTGTTTTAAGAATTTTTTTTTTTTTAGCTCTCTTGAAAAGTGTAGAGAAGTTTGGAATCTTGCACTATTCTTGATTTTTTTTTTTATCATAGACATAGCTTAGATTTACTTCAATAAAAAAAAAAATTCCTTAAATTTTGTTAAATGTATGATCTAGTGCAACATGGATTGTGTTTAGGATTAGCATGTCTGATAACTTCAGTATTGGTTTACTATGAAATTTTGAAGACTTGAAAGTCATTTGAAATTTATTTTATTTGAAAGAGAATTGAAATATACGGGTATATGGATATGAAAGAAACACCTCATTTATATCTGTTATACTGAATTGACTTTCATTCTTCTATAGAGTAAAAGATGTTACTAAGCGTCCAACAATTTTTCTTTTTTTGGGTGGGGGGGGGGGGGATGCAGCCAGAGGTCTTAAGACTTAGGAAGCAAGAAGCTGGAGTCTTGTAAATGTTTAATGAATTTTAATACCTTCATGCATTGCACAGAATTTTTTTTTTTTCAGTACGACCAAAAGAACATTAGACGGCGAGTTTATGATGCACTTAATGTCCTTATGGCAATGAATATAATCAGCAAAGAGAAAAAAGAAATACGGTGGTTGGGTCTACCTACAAACTCAGCACAAGAGTGCCGAAAATTGGAGCAGGAGCGACATAAACGTGTAGAGCGCATTAAACTCAAGACTCAACAATTACAAGATCTCATATTACAAGTAAGATATTGCAAATATTGCTCTGATTACTACTATAAATATTTTTCACATGTAGATTTTAGTAACTAGTTTGTGGACTCGCCTATATGTGACTGCAAGGCCGTTTATCTTGACTTGTTGCTTGCTAAATTCACTCCCTCCTAGCCTTGTAGGCCCTATCATACCTGGCTTTAAAGCTTTGTATAAAACCTGCCTTCACCTGCTCGAGATCATTCCACTTTCTGACCACCTGAGACTGAAGAAATGCCTTCTGACAACCCTATGGCTCATCTGTGTCTTCAACTTCCAACTGTGCCACTAGGATCAGCTTGAGTCACTGGACCCCTGTTGCACAAGATATCTGTCCAGATAGGTCTGTTTCTGGAATCTCTCTAAGATTTGCCTAAAATGGGACATGGCACTGTCATTGTAAAAGTTGCCAGCATGGATTGCAACAGTTTTCTCAGGGTGATGTTTCTCCACAAATGAGTGCACCCTAGTCCTTAATCTTTGAAGAAGGCACCTTCTTCCTTCTCTTCCTCCTCCTCTGAAGCAATTTCCTGATCTGTGGTCTGTTGCTGTTGCAGATGAAGCTCTTGCAGTTCATCAGTGGTTAGCTCTTGATTGGGGTCCTCCACCAATTCTTAAACATCCTGGTCACTCACATCCAACCCCATGGAATTCCCCAATGCCACAATTGATTGCACAACAGATGTAGGGTCGACAGAGCCAGCCTCAAACCCTTCAAAATCCTTCTTTTGGCCACAATGTGGCCACAATTTTCCCCCTAGCAGAGTTCATTGTCCTGGAAATCACTCCCTGCCAAGCCTTATCTATAAGGCTTATGCAGTGGAAGATATTGAAGTGATTCCTCCAGAACTCTTAGGGTCAATTCCAAGTCCAAGGTTATGTCAAAGCACCTTTGAACAAAACATTGTTTTGGTGTACACTTTTTTGAAGTTGGCAGTGATCTGCTGGTCCTTGGGCTGGATGAGAGGAGTGGTGTTAGGAGGCAAGAACTTTACTGTTACATAACTGAATTCCTTAGACAATTGGTCTTCCAAGTCTGGAGGATGAGCAGGAACCTTGTCCATTAACAGGAGGCACTAGAGTGGCAATTTATTATCCAGGAGGTATTTCTTCACACTTGGGCCAAACACTTCATTGAACCATTCCAGGAAAATTTCCCTCGTGACCCATGCCCAACTCTTTGCCTTCCACATCTCACACAATTTACTCTTGATAACACTGTTTTTCTTGAACACTCAGGGATTTTCAGAGTGATACACCAGTAAAAGGCTTCACTTTGAAATCCCCCACTAGCATTACCACACAACAAGAGTGTTAGCCTGTCTTTCTTAGGCTTGTGTCCTGGGAATGCCTTTTCCTCCTGCATGATGTAGGTTCTCTGGCATTTTCTTTGAAAAGAGGCCCGTTTCATCACAATTGAACACTTGTTGGGGTTGGAATTTTTCAGCCTCTACATAACATTTGAATTTCTACATGAATTTTTTAGCTGCTTCTTGAATTTTTCGAACCAGCCTTTGCTGGCCTTAAATTCACCAACATCAGCACTCGTTCCAGGCAGTTTATTTATGAGATCATCATGCATCTGCTTTGCCTTTTCACAAATAATCGACTGCATAAAACTATCTCCTGCTAACTCTTTCTCTCTGATCTTCACTACCAACAATTTCTCCACTTCTTCAGTTGTTTGGGATCTGTTTTGTTATCACATTCACTCCTTTCACAACATCAGCTTCCATGGTTTCTTTTCTCTCTGCCACATTGGAGCCAATGGTTGAAGGCGCCTTCCCGTACATCCTGCCAAGTTCGGCAATGCCACTATCATATTTTTGAAAGATTTCTTTTTTTCATTTCTATGGTGTTCCTCACTTTCTTTACCAAAGGACTGGCACTAGGAGCTTTCTTTGGGGCCATAGTGGCTTATTTAGCAGTCACACACAATAAACAAGTGCCAAAAACAATGGATTATTACAAAATGTTTCAAATGACCTCACAGGATACTTTCACTTGCCGAGAAACAACGTGACACTGCCTGAGAATGTGTGTGGGAGGCAGCTTTGTCTGCACGCTGGGCAATGAACAGGTTCCATACCATTGATGAAAATGGAGGAAATCAATGAAAACGGAACCAATATTTTGACCAAAAAAGTCGGCTAAAATGGAAATCGGCTATAACAGAGATCGACAAAAAGGGAGGGTCCACTGTAATATTATCATTACTAATATGGCATCTTGAGGCATAACGCACACCTACTGATTTTAATGTGTACCTGCATGCCAGCACAGTGTGTAAGTTTATTTAGGTACAGGTATACATAAGTATAATTATCAGAGTACAGTAGGGCCCCACTCATACGGTGGGTTAGGTTCCAGGCTGTCGCCGGAAAGCAGACATCGCCGGAAGGCAGAACGCCATTTTTTCCATTTATAAATGCATATAAATGCCAGACAAGTAGTTTACATTAAATTATATTAAGTTAGTAATAGAACTAGGCATTAAAAACACAAAGTAAAATACATTCACAGTACATTCATTACTTACCTTAAAGTACTTGTAATCTTAATGTAGGGAGAGAGGTGAGTAATACTTGTAGGAAGTCAGGTGCAGGTAGCCCAGGTGTAGGTAGCCCTGGCTCCCCGTCTCATACTTAATATAAGGTATTTAAAACATCCCAGAGAGGTAAAATACACATACAGTACACTCATTATTTACCTTAAAATGTGTAATCTTAATATAGGAAGAGAGGTGAGTAGTATTTGTAGGAAGTCATTGTAGGTAGCCAGTAGGTGTAGCCCGCCTGGGCTACAACTACCGGCTACCTACACTGTGGCCCAGAGCCATATTATTAAAATCGACATACCTTGTTCACTGAATTTAATCATTTCTAACAATTACCTTTAGATGCCATCATAAACGAAGGGTGAAGCAATGAATAATTAATGCCAAAAATTGTAAACAAAAGTGGAGTGTGGGAGTGGCTGGGCCAAACGCAGATTCATACACGTTTTCTCTGATGGCTGAGCAGAGAAAACGTAATGTTGTCCCTCCACCAGGCTACCACACAGGTCCACAAGTATTATTGTCAGAGCACATATAAAATAGGCAATAAATGCCAGACAACAAGTTTACACTAACGTATATTAGCAATAGAAATAGGCATTAAAAACACAATAAAAGGTAAGATACACACAGAGTACACTTATTAGTTACCTTAAAATATTAATATTAATGTGTGAGAGGTGAGTGGCAGGGTGTTTATTGAATAAAATCAGAATGGCACACCATCATCCTCTAACTTGGCACTTAAAGCAAGAGGCTTACGACTCCTCTTTTTATCACAGCTAACCTTAGACGCCATCATCAATGAGAGCCAACTAGTTCACGAAAGAGTAAGCGAGAGAGAGAATGAGATACAGAGTTGAGACAATGTAAGAACACAAACTGAAAAGGTAGTGGGCGATCACTTGGTCAGGCGAAATAAATGCCTATTAATATGTGTCTACTTTTAGTTTATTCATGTACGTTTGAAAGAGTTTGTAAAACATTTACCTCAGTATTTTTTTTTATAATAATAATTACCTCACAATACAAATATTCTTACATTGTGTACAAGTTAGTACAGAATAAACAAACAGCAACACACCATTTTTAGAGTGAATAAAGATATTATTATTATTATTATTATTATATTATTAAATTATTATTATTATTATTATTATTATTATTATTATTATAAAAAGCACTAAATCCACAAAGATTGTGAATTGCCATATACATGTATACAGTAAAGGCATACGAAAAGAATATTTTTCTACAGTTATCCCCCAGTTTGACTAGAGAAAACGTAATTCTTCCGACACTACCTACACAGCTGCTTTGTAAACAAATCTCATATTTACGTCAATTTTTATTCTGTGAGTGTATGTATCATGTTTATATGCTATGTAACGGGTTTCATATATAATTTTGAGGAAAATATCATAGATGGATTAATGAAAATGCTTGTATTAATATAAAATAAGACAGTGTGCCCAAGAGTGATTATTATTTCGTAGTATTGGCGTCATGAGTAGAGAGAGACTTAGCGATTTTAATGTGTACCTGCACACCAGCACAGTGTGTAAGTATATTTAGGTACAGGTACACATAAGTATAATTATCAGAGTACATATAAAATATGCAGTAACTTTAAAACAATTGAAATTTTGGAAAGTTTCATGACATAATAGATGTGGTCACAGAGAATGTAAACAAACCGGGTGGGGCGCGCCGTATTTGAAACACCGCTTGCCGTATAGCAAATTTTGGTCATAATTTGACATTGCTGTATTAGCGGAACGTCGTAAAGCGGGGCCCTACTGTATATATAAAATATACAAGGTATGATATAGCACGTAATGAAAGTAGTTTGTTAGATTATGTATTGGTGGATAAAAGGTTGATGGGTAGGCTCCAGGATGGACACGTTTATAGAGGGGCAACTGATACATCGGATCATTATCTAGTTGTAGCTACAGTTAGAGTAAGAGGTAGATGGGACAAGAGGAAAATGCCAACAACAAGTAAGAGGGAGGTGAAAGTGAATAAACTAAGGGAGGAGGAAGTTCGGGTGAAATATAAGCAACTATTCACAAATAACCCTTTATATAAAGAGACTATACACGCTCTCTGCCAATCCCTAGGTACCTTCCCCTCTTTCATACATTAAACAAAAATACCAACCACTCCAACATTGTCCCCCCCCTGCTTTAAAAATTTGTCATGATCCCGTCAGTTCCAGCTGCTTTACCCCCTTTCATTCTACGTAATGCCTCACGCACCTCCCCCACACTCACATCCTGCTCTTCTTCACTCCTAATAGATGGTATACCTCCTTGGCCAGTGCATGAAATTACCACCTCCCTTTCTTCGTCGACATTTAAAAGTTCCTCGAAATATTCTTGCCATCTACCCAATACCTCCATCTCCCCATCTACTAATTCCCCTACTCTGT